CCCCCCCCCCCCCCCGCCCGCCTTTTTTAGTCGGAGTCTCACTGTCACCCAGGCTGGAGTGCAGTGGCACAATCATATCTCACTACACTCTCGATCTCCTGGGCTCACGTGGTCCTTCCACCTTAGCCGCCCAGGTATCACGGACTACAGGCATACACCACCGTGCCCAGCTAACTTTTTGATTTTTTGAAGACAGGAGTCTTGCTGTGTTGCCTAAGCAGGTCTTGAACTTCTGGGCTCAAACAACCCTCCGGCCTCGGCCTCCCAAAGTGAGTCACAGTGCCCAGCCTTAAAAAAAAAAAAAAAAGTTTTAAAAGAATTGTCATGTGTTGAGAAAAGAAAGGCATTTTGATTCACTCAAAAAGTATTTATTAGTTGGGTTCTACTCTGTGCTAGGCATTGTTCAAAGGAGTGAACCAGATAGATCAGCTGCCTGGTCTCAGGTTGTTCATAGCGGCGCGGGGGAGGGGGGGGGTTAAGGGGATGGAAAGATCTGGGACCGCCTGAGTTGACCTTAGAGCTGAGACTTAAGTGACAAAGAGCAGGTCACGCAGAGGTCTGAAGACAGAGCGTTCCAGACAAAGAAAGCCGGCCCTGTGAGGCCCTGAGCCCTGTCTGGCTGGAGTGCAGTCAGAAGCAACCTGGGCGGCATACGGTTGGAAAGGCGGGCAGGGCCAGACCGAGTTGGGCCCAGGTCAGGAATTTGAAGTTTTGAGGCTAAATTTCTTGACGGTACAGAGAAACGGGAAGAGGGATGGAATGGTAAAGAACGACTGGAGGCGAGGAAGGTCACCCAGAGGTCAAACAAATTCGCCCGGTCCAGGGCGGCTCAGCTTCACAGAGACTCCTAAGCCCCGCCTCCCGCCTCAAATCGGCTTAACTACGCGAAAGCGCTGGCGTGAGCGCGCGCGCACTAGCTCGCGGAAGCTTGGCCCTCGGCGCCTGCCGTAGACATCGGGACTCCGGCGGCCTGTTGTCTTGGAGCCGGCGAGTAGCGTCTGGGCCTCCACCACTGTGGAGAGCGTCGACCGCGAGCTTTGGTCACCATGTCGGTGCTGGACGCTCTTTGGGAAGACCGGGATGTCCGCTTCGACGTGTCCTCGCAGTGAGTCACCAAGATTCCCTCAGGGTCCTGCAGCCCGTACAGAGCGCCGCGGTGCGAGTGCCGGACCCACGGGCAGGGCAGGGCCTTCGCCGCCGCAGCTCACTCCTCTGGCGAGGGATGGGGGGGGTCGACCGCTGCCCGGAAGACTCCGGCTGACGGGGACCCCGCGGCCCTCCCGAGGCCGGAGCCACAGTGAGGGCGCGTCTGGAGTACGCATTTTCGGTCCTGCCCCATCTCCGGACCCATTCTGGCCCAGGGAAGCGATCAGGGATGGGAATCTGAGCTCGGCCGGGACCGCCCTGGGACTTGGGCGTCCAGTGCACCCAAGGGAGCCTGGGATTGCAGAGTTCTTTGGAGTGGGAGGGACGCTGGCCAAGGATTTAGGAGACTCGGGTTCCAACACTGGGTCTGGAATGACAGCACCCATTGTGGGCCCTTGGACAAATGACTTCATCATTCTAAGCTTGAGTCTTTGTAAAATGAGAGACGTGGGAGTAAGCATCATTAGTAATTACGTAACCACGCAAACGTTATGTTCGTGGTAAGCATTCATCTAGTGAGTCATCTAAATCGCCAACAGGAAAAAGGAGCTTCTTTTGGAGTCTCTCAAACATTAGCCCTATTTTTGGAAAAGATCATGTTAAGAGAAGGTGGTTAGAAACCTCCTGCCCAAAACTCTGGGAGGAGGAAAAAGCCCGTTGGAAAATTGTTGAAAAATCCTAAAACTAAGGTCCGTGGATTAATGGCATGGAGCTTCTGAGCCACTTCTTATGGTTCCTTATCATGGACAGCACCTCCATAGACGGGAAAATAAAATACTAATGCATTTCCCAGACTTAATTGTGGCTCAATATCTGATACTAACATGACATTAGATCAGGTTGGGAGGGAAGGGAATTTGTAAAGTTACAAACCACAGTTAAATATTGTACACATTCTATGGCATTTTCTGTCATTCTTGGAGGATTCTTCATCTAAACAAAAGTGCATTTCATGAGCATTTTTAATTTTTAATTTTTTTATTTTTTTGAGTTGGAGTCTCACTCTGTCCCCCAGACTGGATTGCAGTGGCCGCTCCCGGCCACCGCAGCCTCGACCTGCTGAGCTCTGGCGATCCTTCCGCCTCAGCCTTCCGAGTATCTGGAACTACAGGCGCGTGCTACCACGCCTGGCTAATTTTTTGATTTGTTGTAGAGATGAGGTCTCACCCAGTTGCCCAGGCGGGTCTCGAACCCGCGGGCTCCGGCAATCCACTCACCTCAGCCTCCCAAGGCGTGGGATTACAGGCTGAGCCACCGACCCTGGCTAGCATTTTTAATTTATTAAACATTTAACAGATGTTTACTATGTGCTAGTTGCTATGCTGATTGCTAGAGATACAAAAATAATAGGAAGTTATATTCATTCTCCCCCCCCCATTCTAGTGCAGGAGATCCACATAGACAACTAACTATAATAAATGTGGTAAATATTCTGCAAAAATGAACAAAAAGCTGGAAACCATAGAAACAGAACAGTTAATTCTGCCCCGGAAAGGGGTCAAAGAAGAAATAATAATATTAGAGTTAGTCCTTGAAGAATGAACAGGGCCTTATCAGAGTAGACAAGAGGAGAGTATTCCAGAAAAAAAGAAAAGAAAGAATTAAACATTAGAAGCAGAGTCTTGGAGGTATAACTTCATTGGCTAGAAGGCAGAGTTAGTGGCAGGGAGAAGTTGGAGGCACACATAGAAAGATAAAGTAGCAGATTATGAAATTTTCTCTGAGGATTTTGAACTTCAACTTCTAGGTAGTGGGAGGACATGGAAGGCTTTCATTTATTTATTTATTTTTTGTGAGTTGGAGTCTCACTCTGTCATACAGGCTGAAATGCAGTATCATGCTCACGGCCACCAAAGCCTCTACCTGCTGGGCTCAGGTGGTCCTTCCACCTCAGCCTTCCAAGTGGCTGGAACTACAGGCATGCGCTACCATGCCCAGCTAATTTTTTCATTTATTGTAGAGATGAGGTCTCGCCAAGTTGACTAGGCTGGTATTGAACCCCTGGGCTCAGGCAATCCTCTCACCCCAGCCTCTTGGAGTGCTGCGATTACAGACTTGAGCCACCACACTTGGCAGAAATTGACCAGTGAAATCTTATGGGCTTAGATGTTTCTTTTTGGGGAGGTTTGGATAACACATTCCATTTCTTAACCCATGTTTCTTTGTTTGTTTGTTTTTTGTTTTGTTTTTGTTGCGTTTTTTTTTTTTTTAAGTCGGAGTCTCACTCTGTCACTCAGGCTGGAGTGTAGTAGCAAGTTGCTCACGGCCACCACAGCCTCTGCCTACTGGACTCAGACGATCCTTCCACCTCAGCCTTCCAAGTAGCTGGAACTATAGGCGTGTACCACCACACTCAGCTAGTATTTGATTTATTGTAGAGATGAGGTCTCATCACATTGCCTAGGCTGGTCTGGAACCCGCAGGCTCAGGCAGTCCTCTCGCCTATGTCTCCCAATGTGCTGGGATTACAGGCGTGAGTCACCACACCCAGCATGGAAGGCTTTTAAGCAGGGAAGTGATAAGGTCTTATCTGTGTACTCAAAAGATAATTGAGTTGGCTCTATGGAGAATGTATTAGAAGGTTCTACCAGATATATTGCTAGGGTTTTTGTTGTTGTTTTGTTTTTAACACTGTAGAATGTATTCTATCAGTCACAAGCTATTCATTTTTTATTTCCCTTATCATCTGTACCTATTTATTTGCCACATTCTGAAGATGCTTTTCATATAGCTCTTCTTTAGCCATTCCTTCCATAATTGCCACTTGTCCTTGCCTCTACTCAGTAACCTCTGGGAATTCTCCACTGTCCATAGGATAAGGCCTATTTCTATCAGGCTGGCATTCAAGGTTCTCCATAATTTCTTTCCTCTTTAGTTATCTGGCAATATTTTTCTCACAGCTTCTCAATATGGACCTTCTCTATCTAACCCAGTCTTCACACATGCCCTTTTCTTTTCCTCTTCCTGTTCTTTAACTGTGGACTCCCCTCTCTTTCTCTTTATTTCTCCAAATCTACCCTCCTTCTAGTCTGGCTGGCTTACTTCAGTGACTCTGGTCACTCCAGTCCCCACTGGTCTTCAACTTCATGAAGACTTTAATTTTAAGTGCATGTGTATTTGGTATAGTATCATTCCATTGGCTGTTTTTTATGCGTATGTCTTATTTCTCCCTAAATAGATTGTAAGCAGGTATAGTTATAGCTATAAAGTTAAAACTTTTATGTTTATTTTAGACAAATGAAAACAAGACCTGGAGAAGTCCTTATTGATTGTTTAGATTCAATTGAAGACACCAAAGGAAATAATGGGGATAGAGGTGAGTATATTTTTTAATGTATTTTACAGTTCTGGTTTAATTTACAAACATTGAATCATATTAGCTGGAAAATGTATGAAACAGTATCATTTGTAATTATGAGACTGGGAGAGTTAAATCCACATTATATGTTTTTTAGATTTAAACAGAAGAAAGGGTAGGTATTAAATCATAGTTTGGTTTTGCAGTAAGTCCTGGTTATAACATCACTTATTCACAGAAACAACACTCCAGGAACCCAGGGGTATGGAATAGTTTTGACTCTTGGATCTGTCTCCCCAAAAAAGGATTGGGGTAGTGGAACATAAGTAGATCATAACTGTAGTGTGACCTTTTAAAAAATCCAGTACCAATGCATAATCAACACTTAGAGAGGACATGTGAAGAGCAAATTTATGCTGTGCTGTGAGGTCTATTTGTAGGTCAAGTACTAGAATCCCCAGGACTTGAGACTTCTCTGACTGTCACTGAGGACCAGCATGGCAGAAGTCTAGAGTCCCTCCCAAACCAAATTTCCCCAGGGATGGAACTTTAAAAAGTCCAGGCTGCATATAGCAGCTGTGTATGGAGCCAGTGACCAATGACCAGCAGGTCTTGGAAGCATCATTACTGTTCTTTAAGGAAAAAAATAAGAGATGATGAGAAGTAGCTTTGTACATCCAGAAAGTTTTTTGTGGGGAGAAGATGTTTAGAAAGGAGGGACAAAACTCTTATTGGAAAGAGGGTTAAGTGGGGAAATGGAACTGACCTCAGTCAGGTGAGGGAGAGTTAGTAAATACTAGAGAAGGAACAGTAAGCCTTGTTGGCAGAGCACACAACCTTTTGAGTGGCCACTTTCTTCTGATCTGCTCTGGATTGGTATTTGAGCAGGAGGTTCTGTTGTAAGCCTTTCTTCTCTGTAAGGGAAACTGGCCATGGCTACCGTCTGCAGTCGTAGCCTGTCAATGGGCAGGGCCCATCCATAAATGAATGCTCAGATAACATTTTTGAAATATTTCCTGGTGTTGGTCAGGCCTAGATGAGAGTGGAGTATGAAGTTCTAGCAGCAAACAAGAAGCACTTTTGAGGGTGGAATGGTTGTTCCACTGTTGAGACGGCTATATCTTGACAAATCTGAATTAACTTGAAGAGAAAGTTTGGTTATTCCCATACAGATTGCCAAGAACTCTTATGTAACAGTTCATCCACTTATCCAAACAAAGTCTATGAGTAATAGAACATTTTCAATTCATCAGATACTCATTAAGTGCAGAATCTTGTACTAGTACTTTTGAGTAGAGGGAGCAAAAGGCTCCCTGGCCAGAAATGTCCATCTCAGTGCCTGAAATCCTACTATTAGTAAAAAGTGCTTATGTGCACAGATCTAAGAAACCTTTGGTCAAATGAAATTTTACAGGAGTGTGCAGAGCTTCTGGTTGATAAGGAGGTAGAAAAGAGAAAAGGAATCCTGCCCACTAGCTGTCCCCACCCCTCCTTTAGCAGTTTGAAAATGACCAAGTTGAGCAACCCCCTTGGGTCCCTTCCCGCTGTGGGAGCTTTTCTGCCCTCTCAATAAATCCTGCAAAAAAAAAGGAAAGAAAAAGAAAAGAAAAGAAAGTGACCAAGTTAAGGCATTACCAAGTTCAGGAGCTCCTATATTAAAACTATAAATACCCCCAGAAGATTAGCATGTTTAATCCATTTTCAACTAGCACTAACCTGACTTGAAGTTATCAGATTAGCTTTGCGCAGTGAAACTGTGAGAGTGAGACAGGGGCAGCCACAGTTCAGTGTTTGGGAGATGAGCAGAAATAGGGACAACTATATTTTGGTATATGGAAGGACAGAGAAAAAAGTCCATGCCTGGAACACTGGGTTTGGAACTGTAGGATGGGGTCCTTCAGCAGAAACGAGGCCATATAGGAATCCTAGAGACTTGTAGAGATATACCGAGAACAGAAAAAAAAAAGATAAACAGAGTTGGTTAGTAGTTTTATAAGGTAAATTGTTCCCACTCCATAATTTCTCCTGGGACCCTCTGATAAATATAAAAGAATCAATAGATGTCCTGGGCTCATAACCCAGTTTAGAGATAAAGTGTTATCTAGCAAAATGGCATAAGGAAAACATAAAACGATGTATCTATAATCAAAAAATAAGTCATAAAAGTCAGTTTGTAAAGGATTAAAATATTTATAAATAGCTGTTAACATTGTAATGTTTACTATTTGCCAATCACTTTCTGAATCTTTTATATAATGCATAATCTCATTTAATAATAATAATGCAAAAAATTATAAAGTAGATGCTATTATATATTTTCTGAAATGAGGAAGCAAAAGGACAGAGGGGTTAGTTAACTTTTTCTAGGTCACATAGCTAAATGATGAACCAAATTGCCTACACTGCTTTCCTTTTTTTTGAGTCGGAGTCTCACTATGTTGCCCAGGCTGGAGTACAGTTGCACACTCATGGCCACCGCAGCCTCGACCTGCTGGGCTCAGGTGATCCTTCTGCCTCAGCCTTCCAAGCAGCTTGAACTACAGGTACATGCCACCACGCCTGGATAATTTTTTATTTATTGTAGAGACGAGGTCTCGCCATGCTGCCCAGGCTGGTTTCAAACTCCTGGGCTCAGGCAGTCCTCTCACCTCAACCTGACAAAGTGCTGGGATTACAGGGGTGAGCCACCGTGCCCAGCCTTCATTGCTTTCTAAACTACTAGGGTCACATTATATGCATCTAAAAAATTTTCAGTCCAGCCATGGTGAGTTGTTTTTTTGTTTTGTTTTGTTTTGTTTGAGTAGGATTCTCACTCTGTTGCCCAGGCTAGAGTGCAGTGGCAGTGGCACGCTTACAGCCACTGCAGCCTCAATCTGCTGGGCTCAGGTGATCATTCCGCCTCAGCCTTCCAAGTAGCTGGAACCACAGGTGCATGCCACCATGCCTGGCTAATTTTTTGATTTATTGTAGAGACAAGGTCTTGCCAAGTTGCCCAGGCTAGTCTTGAACCTCTTGACTCAGGCAATTCTTGCCTCTGCCTCCTGAAGTGCTGGGATTACAGACGTGAGCCACCACACCCGGATAGAACCTCCTTTTTGTATCTTTTTTTTTTCTTTTTGAGTCAGAGTCTCACTCTGTTGCCCAGGCTGGAGTACAGTGGCATGTTCACAGCCATCACAGTCTTGACTTGCTGGGCTCAGGTGATCCTTCCACTTCATCCTTCCTAGTAGCTGGAACCACAGGCACACGCCACCATGCCCAGTCAATTTTTATTTATTGTAGAGACAAGGTCTTGCCAAGAAGCCCAGGCTGGTCTTGAACCCCTGAGCTCAGGCATTCTTCTCTCCTCTGCCTCCCAAAGTGCTGGGATTACAGGCATGAGCCACTGTGCTTGACTACTTTTTGTATCTTATCTTACTACAGTATTCATGCGGGCCTAGTTTTTCTGATTTTAGTAATTCTAAAGATTTTCAGAAAAGAAAGAGTATGACCTGGCTATACATTTCTGATCAAAATAAAGTTACGGTTTTAATTTGTTGGAGAAATAGTGTGTTAAACAAAATTAAGTGAGTTTTATTACTTCAGAATATCTCAAAGCTACTCTCATATGCTTATTGCATTGTACATCTCTAATAAACCTAGTTTACCATGCTCAGATTTATTTCACTTTATTTTTTGCTTGGCTTATCTGTAAGAGGTTACTATTGCCCAGAACATGTGTGAAGTGGAGTATCTAACTTTGCATTTCAGTGTAACAACATCAGTCTGATACTTAGAATGAAAAGTACAAAGCAGTAAATTGACTTCAGCCTGGCAGTAATTTCATATGAGCAAAAAAGTTTTATCATGGTAAAATCGGGTTTATAAGTATATGGCTCGTTCAAATGAGAACTGCTGAGGAGAATACTCATATGGCAAGGATTAGTTTGCATTTGAGAGTTCTTGGAGAAGTGTGATTTCAATGAGTGGCTTTGTAATTATCCCATATTCATTCCTAGTTTTACATATGACTGCTGGGACCCCAGAGCAGCTTCTGCCAAAAAAAAAAAATCTGGTACACAATTCTTTCCTCAGTCAGTTTGAGTTAAAGTAAGCTACTGACAAAGACTATGTCTGTCCCTTCTATAATCATCAGCTTTTGTTTCTCTGGGATTCTGAATCATACACTGTATACCTTACACAGGGTAGATATGCACAGTAAATATTTTCAGTTAATAAACATATGAAAAATATCTGTGAGTGTTGCTGTTGATACTGGGCCAGAAGTTTGTATCCACCTCATTCGCTACTGCAAAAAGGGCCCTTAACTTAAGCTAGTGTATTTTGTGTTTGTTGCTTTTAGGTAGACTGTTAGTGACAAATCTAAGAATTATCTGGCATTCTCTGGCACTACCAAGAGTCAATCTTTGTAAGTATCTTTTTTAGATAACGCTAAATTAAGAAAGTCCTTTGACAAGTAAACTTGCATTGTAGCTTTTGATGCCAAAAAAAGCTATACCCAAAAAAACATGGAAATCTTACATTGATGAGAAGAAAAAAAACTTCAGAAATCCTAGACTGACCACAGACAGCATCATAATGTAAAAGAAATCCTCCACTTATTATTTATTGGTCTGTGTATTTTGTGTCTTGGACATATATAATTAGGGCTTTGCTCTTGAATGGTTTTTATTTTCTGCTTATCTTTAACAACGTGCTATTACCTGTTTCAAGTAATCCCAAAGAAGGAAGATGTAAGCGCTAATAAAAGTACATCTTTTTATTGTGTTAAATTTTGTTTACTCATTTGTAGAACTATTTCGGATTATCCAGCTATACCTTTTCTTTTGACATAGTGGTGCTAAAATTTTCAGTAAAAATGCTGTATAGGTTTTAGATATGCAAACTTCCTTTTTCCCATGTTATGTTTTAGTTCAAAGAGGCAGAATTGACCCTCTAGTTCTTTTAATTATTTAATTTAAATTTGTAGTTGCTTCATAACATTTTTTAAAGTTATATTTTGGTATATGTTTAATTTTTAAAACTGTTAAAACTTCTGTTAATATGATTTTTTTTAAGAGAAGTATTTTTTTCTCAGTTTACCTCCTGTCCTTTAAATTCTTTGCTTTTGGATTTTAGCTATCGGTTACAACTGCATATTGAATATTACAACAAGGACTGCTAACTCTGTAAGTCTAAAAAAACTTATTGAAATATATAGGTATATACATAGTAAAGAAACATTAGATATTTGAGGTTCATGTTTTTGTCACTATAGATGAGAAATTGCTCTTAAAATCTGAACTTTTAAATAAATTTGTTTTTACAGAAATTACGAGGCCAAACTGAAGCTCTTTATATACTTACAAAATGTAACAGTACTCGTTTTGAATTTATATTTACAAATTTGGTTCCTGGAAGTCCTAGACTTTTTACTTCTGTGATCGCAGTACACAGGTATAGTAATACTTTATGGATTATTGAATATTTTTAGGTTATTTTATGATACAAGGTTTTAGAGGATAAAGTTTAGGGTGCAATCCTAACTTCTGCTAAGATCTATTGCAAATATCCTGAAGATATTTAGAACATGTTTCATTATCATTTAATAAATACTTTAAAGGACCAAGTACAGTGGCTCACGCCTGTAATCCCAGCACTTTGGGAGGCTGAGGTGAGAGGACTGCCTGAACCCAGGAGTTCGAGACTAGCCTGGGCAACACGTCGAGCCCTCGTCTCTAAAGCAAACTAAATGCCGGGCTCGGTAGCTCAGCCTATAATCCCGTGCTTTGGGAGGCTCAGGTGAATGAATTGCCTAAGCCCATGGGTTCGAGACCTGCCTGGGCAACTTGGTGAGACTTCATCTCTACAGTAAATAAAAAAATCAGCCGGGCATGGTAGTGCATGCCTTTAATTCCGGCTACTCGGAAGGCTGAGGCGGAAGGATCGCTGGAGCCCAGCAGGTCGAGGCTGCAGTGGCCGGGAGTGGCCACTGCACTCCAGTCTGGGCAACAGAGTGAGACTCCAACTCAAAAAATAAATAAATAAAATAAATTAGCTGGGAATGGTGGCATAGGCCTGTAGTCCCAGCTACTTTGAAGGCTGAGGCAGAAGAATTGCCTGAGCCCAGCAGATTGAGGCAGCAGTGACCATGAGCGTGCCACTGCACTCCAGCTCGAGCAAAACTGTGAGACTGTGGCTCAAAAATAAACAAACACTTTGAAGGTATTTATAAAACACTGAAGATTCATTAAAATTTCTACTGAGGAGTAGATTAACTACCAAGGTAGGTAAAATAAATAATTCATTCAATATAGATAAACAAGTTGGATAATTCAGTTAATTAATTAAAAACATTATTTTTCTAGCAGTGGAAAGCATATTTGGGTGTTTTCCCTAAAGAGTTTTGTTGCTGTTAGTCTTCTCTTTTTACTATCTCAGCTCCTTTATTTACTTATTTATTTATTTATTTTCTTCTTCTTGTTGTTGGAGCCTCACTCTGTCGCCCAGGCTGGAGTGCGGTGGCATGCTCATGGCCACTGCAGCCTTGACCTACTGGGCTCAGGCAATCCTTCCACCTCAGTCTTCTAAATAGATGAAGCCACAGGCACATGCCATCACGCCCAGCTAAAAATTTTTTTTTTTTTTTTTTGTAGAGACAAGGTCTCGCCATTTTGCCCAGGCTGATCATGAACTGCTGGATTCAAGCATGAACCACTGTGCCTGACCTCAGCTCCTTTTTTTAAAGCTGCATAATTTTTTTTAATGCTTTGCTAAGATGATAGGCTATATACATATAAGTGTTTAATTTGCATTTCTTTTATTACTAGTTAGGCTGAAATTTTTCATGGCTTGTTATTTGATTTTTAATTTTATTGATGATATTTGATCTACATAATGGTTTAATTTACTAAGATAAAATCACATAACAAAATTTCACATAACATAAAATTTGTCATTTAAAAATATACAACTTGAGCCGGGCTCGGTGGCTCAGCCTGTAATCCCGTGCTTTGGGAGGCTGGGGTGAGTGGATTGCCTGAGTCCGTGGGTTTGAGACCCGTCTGGGCAACTTGGCGAGACCTCATCTCTACAATAAATTAAAAAATTAGCCGGGCATGGTAGCGTGCATCTGTTGTTCCAGCTACTTGGAAGGCTGAGCAGACGGTTTGCCAGAGCCCAGCAGGTCGAGGCTGCGGTGGCCGGGAGTGGCCACTGCACTCCAGTCTGGGTGACAGAGACTCCAACTCAAAAAATAAAAATAAAATAAAAAAATAAATATACAATTTGATAATTTTAGTGTATTCACAAGACTGTGCAATTGTTGCCACTATCTAATGCCAGAATATTTCAATCATCCCCAAAATAAACCCCATACCCACATCAGTTATTTCCCATTACATTCTCCCTAAAGCCTCTGGCAACTACTAATTTACTTTCTCTTTCTATGGATTCACCTATTCTGAACATTGCATTTATTCATTCATTTATTTAACAGACAGGATCTTGCTGGTTGCCCAAGCTGCAGTGGAGTGGCACAATCATAACTCACTGTAACCTCAAACCCTTGGGTTCAAGTGATCCTCCCACCTCAGCTTCCTAAGGAGCAAGGATTACATGTGTATGCCACCAAGCCTGGCTAATTTTTTTATTCTATTTTATTTTTCTCTTTTTTTTTGAGTTGGAGTCTCACTCTGTCGCCCAGACTGGAGTGCAGTGGCCGCTCCCGGCCACCGCAGCCTC